ATTATAATATGACTAATATCTTGAAGGTGAGGGATGAATGAGTGAGTACGGTAGATATTATGCACTCACATTCTCATTCATATACACCAACACCCACAAACTGTGTTCACATCCAAAATTCACATCGTCAAGATAGTACGGGTTTCATCTCTGACTTCAAGTGTCCAGTAGCGTTGCTTTATCGTCTTTAATATTTCATACATTGTCTAACTTTTTGTTTCGCGTTTATTGATTTATAGGTACAAAAAAAGTATTTTCTCTGGTATATTAGAAAAGAAAAGGATAGATTTTTGTTCATCTCTATGAGAATGTGGGTGTGGGAAACACCATCATGATATCTCAAACATTTGGATGATTGCACAAATTACAGGTACCCTTGATGCTGTCATGAGTGCCCTCTTAAAAAGCAGAAAAGACGGCAAGCCTGATTCATAAAAGAAGATCCCCCTTTAAGAAACTTGCACGCTAAAACATAATAGAAGATCTGGAACCTCTCATACTATAGAAGGGGGATTACGGTAGAATCACCCAAAACTATACCCAGCGGTCATTCATCGATACAACAGTGCGCAAATAAATCGTCTAGAGCTTTGCGTGCGTCATCAGGTTGAACAGGCGGTGTAGGGGAAGGTAATGAACTTCGCCTCTCTACTGTATAAATAGGCGCTTTTTGATTAACTATTTTTTTCAAATGCTTCGTCAAATTGGTCCATAGTCCTTCTTGTTGTGGTGTGAGTATTAATTTGACCGTCCACAAACGTTCACCAATCTCTTTCGTTTCTCCAATATGAAACACAGCTCCAATGGAAAATAAAATTTCGTCTTCGTCTTGAAACATACTTTGATATTCGATGGAGGCAAAAGGAACAGAATGACCGATACTAGTATCCACAGATATATCAAAGACAACAGATACTTCAGGGTCACTCACTCGTCCCTCTCCAGAAAAAAATAAGGCAGCTTCATAATCTTGTGTTGTAGATAAAAACGAATTGGTTGACAAGAAATGCCCTTCATGATGTCGAAACTCATTCACTTCAGACATGGTCATCCTTAAACCACGATAAAGTGTCAATATGGATTGATTTTGGCTTCGCGAGCGCAAGAAGTTGAATTGCAATTCGGCTAATTGATTATGCAAATCGTGAATAAAGTAGCGAAGTTTCACGATTTGATCTATATTGCCATTACGTAATGATTTGTTTAATAAACGATATAGAAAGCAGTCTTTTGTATACCATTTTGCGGCATCTTTGCTCTGATAAGTTTGTTCGAAAGCGTTAATTTTCTCTAATTCAGATGGATTGGAACTAAGATTTGCTCTACAAACTTCTAACAATTCACTCTTTGCAATATGATTGTGCTCAAGTCGAAGTATCATATCGATGAGCAATTGAAATTGAATAAAAGCAGCGTCTTCGTGTGTAAGATCATGAAAAAATTGTTTGCCACTGCCAGCAGCGGTAAAAAAACTGCGTAGACCAAACGGCACCTTGTAAGAGTTCACAGTTTGAATGAATTGATTATCACTTTCATCCACCAATGTTAGTTCAATATGCCAGAAGTAGTTTTGCTTGCTGACGGACTCAATACGAAATAAAGATTCCAACGGAAATATCATTTGTTGTACACGATAAAAACCACTAATACAAGAAACATCCACGCAAGCGGACTGACGCAGATGATTTGGTATATTTATATGAAACAAAACCCGTTCCATCGACACTGCTTCGCGAAGTGCAACTTTAGCCATCCAGGTAGCTAGATTTTGGTTAGGAGTTGCGGACCAAAAGGTCGTTATACCAATTATACATCCATTTTGATCCGCCATTGATTTAACTTCATCCAGATACATCTGTTGACCACGATACACGATTGAGTGCTTCAAAGGTGGTTGTTTCTTTCGGAGTTCTTTTAATTTATTTTCTATATCGGATATTACATAACGATAAGAGAATATCTGATTTATATCTTCTGAACGCAAGGTTCGATTCACAGCAACATAGAAGAAAGAGGTGCGTGTATACCATCTAATAATGTGTTCTGAATTATAGTTCTCGAAGTCTTCGCAATTTCTCTGTACAAGTTCCTGAACATTAGAACGATGAAAACATCGAATTTTTTCAAGCATATCATCACAAGCGACGCGCGTATGATTCAAACGTGATAAAAGATCGAAGAAAAACTGAAACCATAGGTACTTAAAATATCCGTCTTTCAGATCATTGATCGATCTTTCAGATGAATATGATTGATGAGTGATTAAGTTTGGTGTGGTTGTCTCTCTCAGAAGAACGTCTAACAAAGATTCGGTATCAAGAAAGTACTCATATTCATCGTAATGGCGACGGATTTGTGGTGAATGTAGTTCCAGAATATAAATTCGTTCGATTTGTGGAAATAATGGACGAAGAACATTTATGGCAATACCGGCAAACAGATTCGATGTAATCAAAATAACAGACGTGCCTTCACCAGTAACCATGTAGTCGATGAAATCATCTGCGTCCTTGTACCAATTTTTCACATAAAGTGGTAGAGAACCCGAATGAAAGTCTTGTTTCGTAATATCCAATGAAATGATGGTGAGCTGTATATCACATACTCGAGTATGTAATCGAGAGACAGCCGGCCACATTCTATTTCATAAAAGTATGCTGTAACTCAACGCTTGAGAATGAATGAAAGACAAGATCTACGAATGAAGCTTGGTATATAATAAAAGAACTCGAAATTCTCGTCAGATAGTAAAAGATAGCTTATTTTGCTGACAATGCCACAACTGATCGGTGATTCGTTTGAGTGTAAAACTAAAAGTTGAGAAAATATCAGTCGGTTATATTACAAATCTGCTCATAGGTGTTTAAGGGTGTGGGTTGGTGTGGACTTGTATGTAGGTATCACGGACACACTGCACATACACCCTCAAGATGGTACATATTGGCTAACTCCAGCTATGTATGAAAAGAGCCCATTAACACCAAGAAAAAGTTTTTGACGATTATTATTAAAAAAGGAAAAGATGTATGGTAACCAAACTGGACCTACAAAATCATCATGAACTGGTGGCACAGTATAATCAATCGCACTTGGTCCATAGGAGAAAAAGTTCGTTAAAAGAATACAATGAAACGTTGAAACTAACATTAATAACACTAATGTGAATAGTGCGAACATTATGAGTTCCCTTTCTGCAAAGAAAAAAAATGTCTATGAAAGAGTAATGTCGGTACTTATATACCAGTTTCGCACAGGAGTCTTATGTAAATGTACATTCTTATCTTTCATAAGCAAATATTCTACAATGACATGTAATTTAGTATTGTTCTTTTTCACGAAGGTCTTGCCTTAACTGCTACCTTACTCAAATATTTGACAAAACAGTAAATATTTATAAAAGATCTTCTGTCACTTTTCTTATTGACACACGACAACACTCACCTTTCTCCAATTTATTTTTGAATGAATAATGTATGTAGGTGAAGTAAACAAGGGTGTAGGCGTAAGTATAGGTGAAATAAATAAAATACACTCACACCCACCCCAAAATATAATCTTCCTTTATAGTTGTTCAGTTTTTTTGAAAAAAGAATAAAAGGATTAGAAGAAGACTCAAATTACAATACCTGATACCAATATGCCAAATGTTTTATTTTACTTCGAAATACTTCGTTGTAATAATGAGTAGAAATGATAATATTATCAATAAATACTGTAATTCATATTTCATCATTGATATTTTATTGAGGCACTTTATACTCATAATATTTTCACATGAACACACTATATTAACGAATGGGAGAGGACAGGAAAATTATATGATTTTATGATTTCTTGTATTTTAATATTAAAACGCATATGCAAGATTCTTCTTTCGTATGCATATTTTACCTATTTCAGTTACAGAAATTTTTTATCAATATTAACGCTACATCAATCATCATACTCAATCGGCATGGGTTTTGACTATTTGAAGTTATTTCCATTTCTAATAACCCATCTGATAAATTCAGTTACTTGACTAATGTGAAAAGACAATATTCATTGTAGAATTGGTAAACGATGTCTTTCATACAGATGACTTCTGTGATAAATGATGTTACTGAATAATAGTTATTGTGTATTTCTATCAATCAACCTCGTCACAATATTAAAAACAAAATTCAATCGCAAGGTTGTTAATAGAAAAAATAGTTTTTTTCCTTATCAGTATCTGACTAATGAAACGAACTATGCAAGAATGCACATATCATTTTGAATTATGTTTGTAAAATCAAAATATAAATCTCAAACATATTGTTAAGAAACAAAACAAAATGGTTGCATATTATAGTCATGATATTTGCTATCATTTAATCAGGAGGAATTATTTTTTTTATGAATGTTTAAAATACAACTGTCGATATTCTTACGATTTTTATTCTTCATTACATTCTTTGAGATGAAAGAAGTGGGTGTGGGTGTGGGAGTAGTCATCCTATTCCGCAATGTTGAACATTGCAGAAAACAGCTCCACACACGAAAGCGATTCCATCCAATAGCGGGAAACCGATCCTCAAGCGACATAAGCGATTCTTGGACATTGATCGAGCTCTCGGAATTTAAGAGAACGGATTCTAGAGACAGAATTGGTTTCTGCAATGTCGAACATTGTGAAATAGTAAGATGGCTCTACTTTCATTATGAACAAGCGCTATTTCCTTCTAGTTTTTCTACTCATTTGTTTATCTAATGTGAGACGTGAGAAATAGACTCATAAGAAGATGGTAATAGAACAAAAAAGTTGAAATAATAAATTTTTAGTGTGCGTCTTACTTCGTTACGAAAAGAAAATGATTTTATTTGCTGCGCAATATTCTGAATATGGATAAAAAAATGCGACAGTTTATTGACATGTAGTTGCATTAAATGTAAATAGAAAACTTAAATTTCACCTTACACATCAACGATTTTAATGCAAACATAATGGGGAAAAAACCAAGCACTACAAAACACAATGCAAAGCAAGCATTGAAAATTATTGACTTTGCAAATAAGAAAGAGAACCGAACATAAAAAACATACCAGTCGATGCAATAAGTATAGCATATTTTTTGAATAATCTACTGCAACCAAAATTTGTTGCAAAAAACAAACGGTATAGTCGGGTATAGAATAAGAAATGTAATGTTTAAGGGTGTTGGTATACGTCGGTAAGAAAGGAAAAGAACATCCACTCACCTCACACCCACGCTGTTTTTTACTGGTTTACTACCGTTTACAGCGTTGTTGTCGTTGCGCTAGGTAGGCGACAAACAAGGAACATTCATATAGATTAAAAATTTCCTTGCCTATTATGCCTTTTAAGTTACATTCCAAGAGAAGAAGAAAATTGTATGAATCTAGTTGAAAATTTGTTACATCAATAAGTGGTAGCGACATCTGTTTCATATATGTGAAGTATCATATTTTAATCAATTTACAATATAAAAGATTAAGATGGAAGTGAAAAATATTTATTCATGAATAAATTAATATATTTAGTTAATCTTCTCAATGATTAATATTATAGTTTGGCATTCGTTTTAAAACTTTAACCAATCACATCTACTATACCTTGCTCTATTCTCTAACGTGCCATGTAATCTGATAAAACCATTTTTACTTCTTTTATATGACATTATATAGTTGCAGTGAAGTGTAAAATTATTTTTCTTCATGAATTGTATCGCAAAAGAACAATTGAAGCCAATAAATTTTTATCAAATTCCATTTTCACATTTTTGTGATAAAGTTCGTTGGACATTAGATTTTTATTCATTACCATATGAATCAATTAACTCTAGTTCTCGTCGAACTTCAGCACTTAAAAATGCTCCATCAAATTTACAAAAATTAGTACCTATTATTGAAGATCCGAATAATGAATCTACATTTATTTCTGATTCAACACCAATTCTACTCTATCTTGACAATCATTATGGTGATAAAAAAACATTATTTCATACAAATATGATTGCTAAAAACGATGTTATTGTCCAATATTGTTTGAAATTAGATAGTAAATTAGGTTTATATGCTCGACGTTTGGCCTATTTGCATGTGATTAGTGAAAAATCAGCTATACTGTCTATTTTCATCGATGGAAACTATAACAAAACAACACGAGATGATTGGTCTTCTTATTTTCTTGGTTTAATGGGTTCATGCATTGCAATTGCTCGTCTTGGAATTCATCAAATACGAGAAGAATATATTTTTGATAAGACAATATGTATTTTAGAAGAAATTCAACAAAATATTCATGGAAAACAATATTTGTTTAATGATCAATTTACAGCGGCTGATTTAACATTAACTGCATTGATTCAACCTTTGAGAATAGTACCAGCTTTATTTATAAAATACAAAAATATATTCGAATATTGTGATCGTATTCGTGAACAACATGATCCAAAAGAATTCGAAGATTCTTATGCAGAACGTTTACTTAAACATCATCGCCAAAAAAGAAAATCATCACAATATCAATCAATATTTCGAAATATAATTTGGTATATTTTTTACATTGTATTTTATCCATTCAAATTCTTATTTATTACCACCGGTACGCAAACAAATCACTTATATCAATATCCATCGACGAATCTAACTGAAAAGGCACATAATGATAATCGAATATTGAAACTTACGTCATTAGTCAATAAGACAATCTTTTTTAGCACATATTTATGGCATTTCTGTTTTACTATACCGAAACAAATGGAATTTGTCAATGAAGAAGGAAATCGAATTTTGCATAGACATTCGTAAATGAATATTGATTAAAATATCTTGCATTATTAATAAAAAGTCTTATAGTTATTTAGGCCAGAAAACCATCTTGAGGGTGGGTTTTAAAGTATTTTGTGTTTATCATTCAGAACTCTAATTAGAAGGCGTTTTATTGAATTGATATGAATACGGATAAATCAACATATATTAAAAATGATTTTATTGATGTTAGAAGATAATTCGCTCTATGCTATAAGAATAAGAAATACTCACGAAGCAATTATCACATATTCTTTTTTTGTACTAAATGATATAATAACTATACGACAAACAATAACGAATAGTACTAAATTTAAAAAAAGTAATAGAAAATAATGTCAATAAAGTATTTTTTTCTTATCTATATCGTCGAATCATTTTTAAAATTCGATGTATTTTCTAAGTACGAAATTGGTTTGCTGGTTAGTTATCAATGAGAAAATAAAACATATGGATTTTTTTCTGTTATTTCGTATGTATACAGGTTAATTTTATCTCATAAGTGTGTAGATGTTTTGAAAAAAAATGAGAGGTATAAAAAGTACTCTGTTTTTCATTGTAAAGTCACCCACCATTCTCATCTCTTCATTCACATTTAGCAAATCTACTAAATACATTTAACAATGAACGCTGCTCTTGCACTCATCTTCTTCGCCTGTATTTCTGGTTCCATGGCTTCTGATGCTCGTGTTGATATCATGAACTTACTTGTTTCACAAGGACAAGGTATTCTTCAATCAACCATGACTATGCTTCAAAGTCAACTTATGAATATTGCTACACAAGCTCTTGGTCAACTCACAGGTCTTATTGCTAACCTCGGTGGTCGATTAGACTTCAATATCAATGCCATCCTTGAACAATTCAAACCACTCCTTGTTCAAGCCGCCAGCGGTCTTCTTGGTCAACTTACAGGACTCCTTGGTGGTATGTATTCATTTTCATCTATTTCTATTTCAATCTATTCACTACAATCTTATCATACATTCTAGGTCGTATGTTCGGTGATCTTCAAACAATGTTCACTGATTTTCTTGGTCAAATCACAACACCACTCCTTGCCATTGGTCAATCACTCTTAAACCAAGGTTTATCAGCTGTTATCGGTCAATTAGCTGGATCACGTTTTCTTGGTGACTTCATGAGTCGTAAGTAGATGTTTAGTAATATTTAATGAATGAAAATGAAAGAGATTTTGATTTTATATTATTTAGAAATTACAAGTCAATTCGCTAGTGCCATCGCAACTGCTCAAGGTGTTGTCTCATCAACTGTTGCAAGTCTTACCGGTGTTGCTTCAAGTCTTCTTAATGCTTCAAAACCACATTTAGCTGATCTCCAAAACCAATTGATGGGTCATGGTCTTAACATGCTCGGTTCAATCTCCGAAACCGTCAACAACCTTCATGGTTCACTCGTTGGTGGACAATAAGTGGTGAATTGAAAGCGATGTTTTTTTTCCTTTTAATCTAATTTAACTATTATAATTATCATTTATTGCCCATGAATAGTGGGTTTTGAATGCATGTCAATAAAAAATCATTGATCATCACTGACATTGAAATATAACAGTTCTTTATTTTATCTACCTAATCATATGCCTGTCTAGACAGGTTCTACTCGTCATAAAATCTGAATCGAGCATGGTTCATTTTTAATTTGAGAAACAAACGATCAGTCACAACCGTATATCTCATTTTTTGAAAACTAACCTAATTCAAAGAGATTAAGGAGTTGTGATGCTGCATATTCGAGAATTCTTACACTTTAACGATAATCTGAGCAAAGTAACCTTAATATTCCCGAATAATCAGGAAAATTGATATTATGAAAAAATTGATCCTCTTCTCAAAGTGTATTCAACAATTTTAATAGTATAACCAAACTAGGATATGCTTGGGATCACCCCGAATCATGATTATATGGAAAAAAAATATTCATTCAAAATGACACAATCCCGGACAAGTCCTAAAACCTTATAGGGTCGTTCAACTGCATATCTATTCCTGCTCACGCCACAACAAGCAAATGACGCCATGTTTAGGTCGACAAGTCGTTTATTGAATAGGTCTTATTACATCGAATGTGTAATAAGCATTTCTTTTTAGTTCAAGAACCGAATTACTTAGCAATATGTCATAAAACTGCAAATCACACTTATTACACTTAAGATAAACCTTTAAAATCAACGTCAAGTCGTTCGTCGGCCTTCCTCCACTATTAGTTTAGCTTTGTAATAAAAAGGTGCATTTCGTGTGAATTTCTCTCAGAAAGATGCTGAGTATTTGATACTATGATTCTCAAGAAGAAGCTAAGAAGAGAAGAACTATGTTGTAAGCTGTTGCGAATAAAGTACGTTACATTGTGCCATAGCACAGATCTTCATCTACTTCGAATATTATTATACAGTTAAAATCAACGACCATTTAACAGTACGATTTCAAACAGCTGTTCTTTTTTTAAAACTATTTGTTTCAATTTTACCGAAAAATCCCGTTATAGTTATCAACTAGGATCCGGCGGGATATGGTTTCTTTATTTCGATCTCGTTTCACGTATTAAAAGTGGTACCCGTTCTGGTCCCGTTTGAACCCGATTTTTCTGAATCTGCCAGTAATAGTTTTTGAACACATGTTTAACAAGTGAATACCCACACCTACCGAGTCCAACAAAACAATTTCCTAAAAAACCTATTCTTTGAGTAAAAAAATGAGGGACAAGAAAATTCTAAAAAACTGACCTCAGATTCGGATTCCGCGACCCAATAAAACTGGGGTGAGGCTATTTGGACTTTAAATAAAATAAAAACTAAGCTTAAAAAACTTTGCTGCAATCTGATTGGCTTGGACAGAATGACAGATAGACAAACTTTAAGCAGTTTTAGGCCCATGATTTAAACATGATATAAACCTTTCTTTCAGAAAAGAGAAAAATATTTATCGATGATATTGAACGAGATGCTGTATGAAAGTAGGTGAATAGTTTTTTCAAAGCTTTATAATATTTTGTGTATACGAACATTTCGTTTTTTTTTATTATTATTATTATTTTCATCTTCCTCCATTTTAAAAGTAAAATTATATATAACTAAGAAATATTTAAAATATTTAAGTTAGTGCTCTTTTCATACAATTAAATAAAATATTATGTATTAAATATTATGCTATTCAAATAAAGCGATAATAACAAATAAAATTATATATTATCAGAAATATGCCATGTTACCGACAAAAATAGTCTAGGGAATATTCTTTTTAAAAAATCTAAAATACTCAATCACTTTCATTCTTTTTTCTAAAACGGATAGTAGAATGTGCAATACAGACGGCCATTAAAAATATTTATTTTGTTCTGTTCTGTTCTGTTCGCTTTCATTTTTGCTTCATTAGTTTTATATTCTTTTTTGTACCGTGTTTTTAATCGTTTGCGCACTGTATTTATATTGCAAGTAATCATATTCATAATTTTGCAAAGGTAAATACATTATATCATGTGAAACACATGTGTCGATGAGTAAGTGAAATCAAAATAAAATCGTCTATTCCTACACTGGTAAGATACTGAAAAAGTTAGATGATTTTACATTAACAATCAAGTTTTGTTTTTTATTCAAAATGAATTTCTTCTGAAAATGTACTGAGATGAGTGAGAATTTATTATTTTTAAGTCGAAGTGTTAATATTACTTATTTCGTTTCTTTGCTTCTATGCTATGCATGATTGATTTTCAATCTTTGCTTAACATTAAAAGTACAAATAAGAATAGTGAGTCGAATAGGGATGTAATGGTGATGATTTCTCAGCAAAAACCGATCTGATTCTATTCGAATCGTTAAATGTTTATTCGTGTAGAACAATTAAATCATCATAAGTTCATTCTTAGTGAGTCGCTTGGATTGTCGTATGCTTACGCCTTGAGGATAAGAATATTAAAAGTAGAAGATCTTTCATTATAATTACTCTTCATATTGATTTTGATCGTAATAAAACTTTTCACAATTAATTTACCTTATAGATTCATTGAATACATCATGAGTTCTAATGTTATACAGTTAACAACGTATTCGTCAAATGACCAACAAAGTTCGGCGAGTGGATCAAACTTGACCACAGACTTGGTGGAAGAAAACAGTATAATTGACGGTGACGATGATGATCTTGATCAACTTAAAAAAAATATTGCTACGTTGAAAGCACAGTTCGTATTTTTCTAAATGTTTCAACTTAACTCAAAATATTTTGTCATTCACAGGCGATGTTTGACCATTGCAAAAATTATAATATTTGGAATATATATAAGCATTGCAATGATTAGTGCCATATTAATAGTTTACTACACTACACCAAAACCAAGTATGTTGCTAACTCAATATTTTCGTATTATTAATAATTAAAAAAGAAGTACAATTCATTCTTTGATAATTTACTTTTATTCTAGTTAATACATGTCAACTTACGTTCAGACGTGTAATGCCAAGTACACTCATCTACAGTTCGCAACCACGATCTATTGCTGTTGCTGACCTAAATAATGACCATCAAATGGATATTGTTGTAGCTAACTCTGGTACAAATACGATTGGAGTATTTTTTTCGAACAACAACAGCAACGAAACTTTTTCTATTCAACAAACATATTCAACTGAACCACAAACTCGACCATATTCAATTGTTATTGCCGATTTTAACAATGATACTTATTTAGATATCGCTGTTGCTAATTTCGGTACCAATAGTATTAGTATTTTCATTGGCAATATGAATAGTACATACAATAGTCAAAGAGTTTTCTCAACTCATTCTTTTCGTCCATGGTTCATCAGTGTTGGTGATTTTAATAACGATCAGTATTCCGATCTAGCTGTCGTCTTCTATGGTACAGATAATATTGGTATTTATTTAGGCATTGGTAACGGATCATTTCAAAATGCAATTATCTACCTAACTGGTTATGATTCTCTGCCATATTCGTTAGCTATTTCAGATTTCAATAATGATAATCAACTAGATATTGTCGTTGCTAACTATGGTACTAATAATATCGAGATTTTCTTTGGATGTGGTAACGGAACATTTGTCAATCAAACGATTTATACAACTACTCATCAGTCAAATCCAGCATCGATTTCTGTTGGAGATTTTAATGGTGATCAATTACTTGATATTGTTGTTGCTAATCATGGGCAAGGTAATATTGGCATATTTCTAAGTCATAGTAATGGCACTTTTGGAATGCAGACTACATGGAATATTGATTTCAAATCTCGTCCACAATTTGTATCTGTTGGTTATATTAACAATGATACTTATCTGGATGTTGTTGTAGTTGATTCCGAAAACGATCGAATATATATTATACCGGGTAATGGTGATGGTAGTTTCGCTACAATTAGCACATTTGACTTAATCAGTGGATCACAACCATCTATGATCGTTATCGATGATTTCAATCAGGACAATCAATCTGATATTATTGTAGTTAATTATGGGTTCAATAATGTTTTATTATTGAGTGAATATTCTAGTACACCATCAGCTCGTCAAAATAGCTATTTAGTTGGACATGGTTCTCTTCCAACTGCCGTTGCTGTTTATGATTTCAATAATGATGGTTATCTTGATATAGCTGTAAATAATTTTTTTAATAGTTATATTCTTATTCTAAATGGTATTGGTAATGATAATTTTGTTAGAGGAAAAACATATTCAACGGGTGATAATTCTGTACCAAATGCTCTTTTTCTTGTTGATCTAAATAATGATCAACGAATAGATGTTCTTGTAGCAAATATAGGTTCGAATTGTTTAGGTATTCTATTTGCACAAGATCATGATAATTTTGCAAATATTATTACTTATTCAAGTGGAACTAGTTCAGCACCATGGTTTGCTGGTTTTGGTGATTTTAATAATGATACTTATTTAGATATTGTTTCTGCTAATACAGGAATTGGTAGTATAACTATTTTTCTAGGATATGGAAATGATTCTTTTACTGATTTTATCACATATTCTACTGGTATTGGATCTGCACCAGTTTCACTTGTTGTTGAAGATGCCAACAACGATTATCAATTAGATATTCTTGTTGCTAATCAATATTCTAATCTTGTTACTGTCTTTCTTGGATATGGAAATGGACGTTTTTATATGATAACAAATAGTTCGAATAATGCTGCTGATGAATGTATTATGATTGCTGCTGGTGATTTCAATCGAGATAATAATATCGATGCTGTTATTGTCAATGCTGCTTCTGGAAATATGTACGTTTCCTTCGGAAATGGTGATGGTCATTTTCAAGAACCAGTCATTTATTCTTTAGGAAGTGGTGCTTCACCATATTATGTTGCTGTCACTGATTATAATGGTGATAATAATACTGATATTATCGTTACAAATTTTGGTGTTAGCAATGTATTAGTTTTTTTTGGAGATGTCAATGGTAACTTTGAACTTGAAAGAACATTTTCAACAGGTCTTGGTACGAATCCAGAAGGTATTGCTTTTGCAGATTTCAACAATGATGGAAAAGTAGAAATTATCGTCACAGATTGGGGAACTGGATATGTAACTATATTGACTGAATATTATGCTGCACAATTTACTAATCAAATTAGTTATTCAACTGGCTCTGCACCACATCCTTACTCATTAGCTGTTGGTCATTTCAACAACAATCAACAATCAGATGTTGTTATTGCCAACTCTGATACTGACAATTTAGGTATTCTTCTTGATTGGCATAATGGAACATTTGCCAAACAAATAATCTATCCATTCAGTATAGATTCTTATCCACAATATGTTATTACGGGTGATGTTAATAAAGATAATCATACAGATATAATTGCTGTCAATTCAGAAAGTAATACGATGAGCATCATTCTTGGATATGGTAATGAGTCATTTGCTAATCAAATGATATATGATTTAAGAGATGATGCACATCCTTTTAGTGTAGCAATGAGTGATTTTAATAATGATGGCCGATATGATTTTGTCACTGCTAATCAAGGAACAGATAGTATTAGTGTATTTCTTGGATATGATTATACAACATTTCAAAATCAAGTTACTTATTCAGATGGAAATAGTTCAGGATCTTTCGATATTGTTGTCGCTGATTTTAATCATGACAAATATCTTGATCTTGCTGTTAGTTTTCAGAATAGTGATACATTAACTATTTTTCTTGGAGACGGAAATGGAAGTTTCATAGTTGAAAATATCTATTCTACAGGTTCTAATTCTATTCCGGCAGTATTGATCGTCAATGATTTTAACAACGATAATCATTTAGATGTAGTGGTGGCTAATTCTGGAACGAATAATATTGGTGTTTTTTTGGGTTATGGTAATGGAAGTCTTGGTCCAATGGTGATATATTCGACTGGTGATGATTCCGCACCATATTCTATTGCTGCTGGTGATTTCAACAATGATAATCAAACAGATCTTGTTTCAGCCAATTTCGGTACAAACACTATAGGTATTCTTTTCGGCTTTGGTAACGGAAGTTTTATACTTGTAGTACAATTTTCAACTGGATCTTTTTCTTTACCAAATGCAGTCACTGTCGGTGATCTCAACAATGATAATCGACTTGATATTGTCGTGTCTAATTATGGTACTAATACGGTCGGTATTTTTTTAGGATATGGTGATGGAAATTTTACAATGATAGTAACTTATTCTACTGGTTTACAATCATGGCCATATTGGGTTAGTCTTGGTGATTTCAATGGTGACAATGCACTTGATATTGCTGTTCCAAATTTCGATAATGAATATGTGAGTATTTTTATGAACTATGGAAATGGAAGTTTTTCTAATGCTACATTCTATTCATCGGGACCTGGTTCAGGTCCAACATGTGTTTGTATTGGTGATTTCAATAATGATAATATACTAGATATCGCTGTTGCCAATAATGGGATAAATAACGTAGCTGTTTTATTCGGATTTGGGGACGGAACATTTTTATTAGGCAGAGCATATTCGACTGGTTCAGGATCAACACCTCGAACTATAGCTGTAGGTGACTTCAATATCGATGGACAATTAGATATTGTTGTTACTAATTTTCAATTAAGTAGATTTAGTGTTTTTCTTGGACAGGGTCGTGAACCATATGCGAGTGCATCAGACTATGCTTCCACTGATGAATCACAACCACATTCTGTTGCCGTTGGTGATTTTAACAATGATGGATGGATGGATATTGTAGTAGCTAATTATGGTACTGATAATATAGGAATATTTCTTGGATCTCGTAGTGCAATCTTTGGTAGTATGGTAACATATTCAACTGGCATTAATTCTGCACCGTATTCAGTTGTAGTAAATGATTTCAACAGTGATAATTACTCAGATATTGTAGTTACTAACTCTGAAACAGATAATGTTGGAATATTTTGTGGTTATGGTAATGGATCGTTTACTAGTATAAATACATATTCAACTGGAACTCGTTCTCGTCCTTATACGATTGTCACTGGAGATTTAAACAATGATAAACAGTTAGATCTTGTTATTGCTAATTCTGGTACAAATAATATCTTTGTACTTTATGGATATGGAAATGCAACTTTTAGATATAGTAGCATCTATCCATTAGGATATGGATATCTTCCTTATTCGATAGCTCTTAGTGATATGAATAATGATAATTTATTGGATATTATCATAGCATGTTATGGTACAAATCATGTGGAAGCCTTAGTGCAAATGTGTTAGTCGTATAAACTACTCATAGAGAGTGAAGAAATAATCATTCTCAATCATTAATATTTTTTTTTTACTTTGTTAATGTTTATGTATATAAGGGTGTGGGTGTGAGGGGGTATTTATTTTATATTTACACTCGTTCACACCCACACCCACTTTCAAGATCTTTCTTTTGTATGATGCATACAGAAAGACAAAAATGTAATAGTATTTTCTTCAGTCTCACTCTCAATAATTATATATTTATTTATTCTAAAGATATGTTTTTTGTTGATTGTATTAAATCAAGTTAATATTGCTAGATGAATCAAACTTATTGTTTTGATACTTTTAATTATAACTATATATTTTATTAGCTTATTTTTCTTACATATTAAAATATTTTTATTAAGCAACAACATCTTGTTTGATTTCACTGAAGCACATACGATAACAAAATGTTCATTATCCATAATTATTGTATCAGAGATGAAATCTTCTTCGATGGGTATATATTCGCTTGTGCGCATAACGTATAATTTCAATAACAAATATTTTTAACCTTGCGCTTTTCAGAGTTGTCTGGTATTGTTGACCACACCATACTCTGAAGTTTAGTACAAACTTTCCAGTTTTCGTTGAAAAATATGGCTTATCCAACGAAGAAACGAATTTTCTAATTTATCTATTTAATAAAAATAATTAATGAATTAGTGATCAAAATGTTATATCGTCATGCAATGTAAAATTTCATTAAAAATGTTGAGTTATTATTATTCTGTAAGAAGATAGCTCAATAAGATATCATCTTGAACAATTGAAACATATATTTTTCTTATTGGAAAAAAGTAAAATAAAAAATTCAAATGTTAAAATTTTGAGTACAATACATAAAAGTAAATAAGTTAAAAGAAATATTCATTGAATTGATTATCAATAAAGTATAAATATTTTGTTAAAAGTGAATTTGTTTCTCAGCTGTTTATATTAAATAGCATTTTGCAATTGTGTAACACTAAAAAATCAAACAAAAACAATTTTCAATATTTTGTTTTTTTTTTCTAAATAAATTCTATTTTACCGTCGTGAAAAATAAATGAAGGTACCAACAGCCGCTGAGCCTGTTATCAATACGCCAAGTCCTAAACCTAAACCTAAGCCTAATTTCAAACGATAATTTTCATCTTGAAGATCTTGAATGGAATTGGTTAATGATAATAGCTGAATCTCATATGATGGGTTTGTTGTTGTTTGTGTAGTAGTATTTGAATTTATAGTTGCTGTTATATTTATCCAACAATCCCAATACAAACATACTGGTAAACAAGTTGTTGTTGCTAAAACAATATTTATATTTATGTATTAGAATTTATTAATTAATAATAAACCTATGTTATATCAACTATTTTTTGCTTTAATAATTTTCATTATTGCTATGTATGAACAATATTATTATTGTTACTTATATAACATAGAGATTATTCTTATTTTAAAAATTTGTCTTTCTTTGCTACTATAATATTATTATATGTGAAAAGCATTTAAACTTCAAATTTTCTTAAAAATAAATGTACTTCGATTTTCATTTTCAAACCGTTCAAATAATATTTATTTCTGACTGGCAAAGTATAAAAGAAATTTTCATAACTATAGATTGTTTTACAATAATCTTTTCTTTTTAAATATTTCTTATTGAAAAAAGTATAAACAAATTTAATCGATATAGACAAAAAAATATATATAGTTTATCAATAAACTATTTTATTAAAATTAATAATTTTCTTTTTTCCTTACCTGTTGTTGTTGTTGTTGTTGTTGAGCTTGAACTACTACTAGTGGAAGTACTAGTTGAAGTAGTACTTGAAGTTAAACTTATGCTTGCTGTTACGGTCATTGCTGTCGATGTTGTACTTGTTATAACACTTGTTGTAGTTGATGTACTACTAGTACTCGTATAAATACTACTTGTGGAACTATTCGAATTTGATGTACTGGTATTTATCGTCGTCGTTGTCGAAATTGTACTGGTAGTACTAGTTGTTGTTGTAGTAGTACTTGTCAAACTCGTAATACTAGTACTGGTTGTAGCCGACGTGCTTGTAGTAGTTGTTGTCGTTGTAGTACTAGTGGAGGTTGTACGAGTGGTGCTAGTTGTTACTGTCGTAGTTGTTGACGTTGTACTTGTAGTGCTTACTGTCACCATCGTACTAGTAGAGGTTGAACTTGTAGTACTTGTTGTTGCCGTTCTAGTTGTGAAAGTCGTACTGGTTGTTACTGTTGTAGTTGTCGAGGTTGTACCAGTAGTAGCGGTTGTTGCACTGACTGTTGTGTAAGTAGTACTAGTTGTTATACTCGTTGTTGCTGATGATGTGCTGGGAGTACTTGTCGAAGTACTGGTTGTAGATGTACTACTAGTTACGTTAGTTTTTGCTAAAATATGAACAAAATAGATAGTGTATGAATTTTAAATAAGGTGGAAAAATGACGTATTTTACTTGATGTTGAAGTTATAGTCGAAGATGTGGTTGTTGCTAGTTGATAAAAATTCAGAAAATATGTAGCTATATTCGTTTAATAAGATTTTTAACGTTGAATACTGTAGTGAATATATCATTAGTTTTCTTTATGCAGAAAGTATTGTAGACAAGAATTAGTAATAGAAATGAACGGAAATCGAATTCTTCATTTAATAATTAAAGGTAAACTCTCTTCGTATTTGAAGGATATTCCTTTACCAGCATAGTCATTGTTGTTAACGTTGTACTAGTTATAACCACTACCAAATCTTTAAATATCTCACATATGATAACTGCTCTTTAATATTGTTCTTAGAAAATAAATTCTATCTATATTTGAAATTTATTCTGTTTTAGAATAAAGCTTATTTCGACATGTTTATAACTTACCACAAGAACCAACAAATTTTTGAACACGATTATTATTAGTATCGGCAACAATAAGGGCGCCATTTGTATCAAATTTAACACTGTATGGAAAATACAATTGATTTGGCAAAGGTCCATAATATATGATTCCAGCTATCATCGTACCAGAAGTTGATCCTATCTTCCATCGCATAATACGACAGTTCGAATGATCTGTAATATATATATTCCCATTTTTGTCTCCAATGACTGACATTGGATCACATAATTGGCTAAGTCCTGAACCACAATCGCCTGTTTGGCCAGCCACTGTTGTGCCATTAGTAGCTCCTTGTAACCACATTTGAATTCGATGATTAAATGTATCTGCAACATAAATCGTGTTCGAATTAATTGTATCAACAAATAATCCCAATGGTAAATAGAATTGGTCCGATCTTGTTCCATTACTTCCACAAACAATAATACCTGTTGATGAAGATTCCCATCGAACGATCCGACTATTAAATGTATCAGCAATCCAAATAAATAATGTAATTGGATCAACAAAGAATCCATAAGGATAATTTAGTTGATTACTTCGATCACCAAATCCATTATTACCAGCAACGACTATTCCAGTAGTTGCATCAGGTATCCATTTAGTCACACGTGCATTTCCACTATCAACGATATAGATATTTCCACTAAGATCTACACTAATACCATCCACTAAAATAAATAAACTCCAAAAAAAATCTAAATATTGGTTATTAAAAGATAGAATTACTGGTATAGAATTGATTCAGTTTATAACCAGAAGTGCCATTGATGATTGTTGTTCCAATAGTCGAATTTGAAAGAAAACGTTGCACGCGAAGATTTCCAGTGTCTAGGACATAGAGAGTGCCATTCTGATCAACGAATGCGTCTTGCGGCTTGTTAAGATATGCAGCAGTGTTGTTTGACAAGCCTAAAGATGAGCCAGCAATTGTTATTCCATCAGGTGACCAAGTCATGTTTGGACAAATAGTTTGAGCTAGATATTCTTCAAGTAAAAATCTAAATCAAAATATCTGTTAGTAGCATTCATTTATTAAAAGAGATATTACATACATTGTTAAAAATATAGTTATCAACCATAATTGTTTGAAATATAAGTTCAACATTGCAACTATTAGTTAAATAATATAAAAAATCAAATAAATAATTTGTTTACATAAATTAAATAATAAGAGATACACTATTGAAATAATTGTTATGAAAACTATAATCGTGACAGATACACCTTATTTACGATTAGTTTATCCAGGTACTCTATTATGACGGAAATTCATTTAAAAAACTTATTTTTTTTGTTTTATTCAAAGTTCTTAAATTGCAAGTTATTATTTAACTTCTGGATGAATAATTAACTTAAAAATATTTCAAGTGACAATATCATATATTATGGAAAATAGCTCTTTTCTTTTTGTTACTATTAACTTTCAGTTAATGAGAAAATATATCATTAATATTCATCTCATTAACAAGCTAAAAATAAAAATAATATTTATGAAAGTCATGCATTCATAACATAAATAGTCCCACCAGGGAACCACTCGAAGTGTTAACAAACTTTTTGCTAGAATATTTTTATGGGTCTCTGTTTTTCCGACAAAATCAAAGTTTCAGAATTTTTAGACGAAGCATTGCCGAGATATAATATTTTTAGAATATCCATATATACAACAATATCCGTAAAAAATCGATATCTCAGTTAAATCTCATCTTGTGCCCATATTCTCTTAGACTTTTTCTAGTCTATATGATATGCCTGCGATGTTATTTGTTCATATCTATAGTATCTGTAAAAAAATATTAGTAAAATAAATGTTTACCTACAATATTGCTTGAAAAGAATAGTCTTTTTTTTCTAAAAATATATGATGTGTATATTATTATTGCAACTTATTTTTATAGTCAGTATTCTTCAGTAATAAACTGTCAAGAAGAAAAAACAATTTAATAGGTTTGTCCCTTGAAACAAACAAGGATAACTATTTGAATATTATTTTAATTTCATGCATCAAAGAAAACATTTAATATATATCATGATTCTCTACTTCTCTTCAAGAGTAAAGTCAATCTTTATAGAAGCATATTACATTGATTTTATTATGAATTTTTTTAATTATTAATAGGATGAGCCATTTTATAATATATAACAAGCCATAATTAATGATTTTATAATGAGAACATTGAAGGTGTAGGTAAAATGAAATATTCGCACTCGAAAAATAGCATAGAAACTCCTAATTTATCTTCAGTGTCTTCTTTCACTCATATAATAGTGAATAAAACTACAAAGATATCGATTGTTTCTTTTCTATTATATAATCAAAACAATCTGTTGCTAATAATAAAAGTTAGAGCTAGTTGTTTGAAAATTTATAAACTTTTTCCTCAGACTGATCTTAATAAAATATAGATAAAGTCTATTGCTATGATTTTTAAACTACAGAATAAAAACAAGATAATATAACAAAGACGACATGTTATATTTATTATAATATTTATCTATAGATGATGAAAAATATGTAGAATTCTTGTTTTCTCCTTCTGTCTGTCGATAGATATTACGTGAATAAAAAAAATTGAATAAAAAACAATAAAGCGAAATTCTTGGATATAATCATTATGAATTTGTTGATTATAAAGTTCGATAAGATAATGATATTTAACGCTTAATAAATTCTGATTATCATTCATTGACTTCTACAACGGTCTCTAATTTAGTCAATGACCATTAATGACAAATAATTTTTTTAATAAATAAAAATGATTGAGAAATTCGAATAAAAAATTCATTTTCAAAAGAATGCTCATCATCTTCACAGTATGGATGTGAATAAAGGGAAGACGTCCACCACACCCACATTCACCCTCAAGTTGATAAAAATCGTTTTTTTCTAACTATTCGATAACACTACAATTTTTTTAAGCGCAAATTTGCAAAGATTGAGTGCAGAATATCTTGATAGCTAGCTTGTGCATTACTCATTTAGTCGACACATTAGTAAAGGTCAAAGGGGGAAAAACGAAACTTCATCTACTTCAAATATTTTATGAACTGATTTGAAGTAGGTTAAAGTATGACTAAAGTACAGGTAAAGTATGCAACCATGAAGCATCACTTTTCCTTCTCGGTAAATATGCTTTTGCCGTCATATTATTACCATGTGTCTGACAAATTCACGTTTTGTATTGCATTTTCTTTCTTGTTCTGTCGGTCATGACTGATGAGAAATATCATTAAATTTGTTACACATTGTCACGTACGAACTCTATAATAAATATTATATTTATACATTCAATGAAACAACTATAAAAGGGTTCACTTAAACAACTTCAATATCATATTTTATTACATTTCTTTTAAACAGTCGATCATGATCAAACCAACTGGAATGGGCATTAATACGGGTTATCATTATAGTAATGTGGCTTTAAAAATGCAAAATTATATAAAGTATGGACCACTACATTACACCCTAATTTATCCGCGAAGAATAGCCCATCCGTTTCATCCTGAACACCATCACTCACCTGCTCCACATCTCGGTATTCATCCCGAAGCTAGAGGCGTTCCTATGCTTAGACGTAAAAGATTTCCACCTGCGCATTGGCATCCGGCTCATATGTGGCTATGATGAACCATTGGTTGAGAAAATTGAGAAGGATAAACGAAAGTGGCTCTTTTGGTGATGCTGAAGTTTGTTCAATTGATGAAAGTTTCTTTTATTTATCTGATGAATTTAAAAAGAAACACAAGAAATCATGAGTTTTCTTTCTTTTTTCTAATGTGTTATTTTTTTTATCTTTTTATTATAATAAACTGAAATGATCATATGTCATATTTCATAGAAGGAAAAAAATCATTCAATTATCTTTTTATCAACTTTTTTGTCATTGTAAGACATTGTGGAAGACTCGAATCACATTAATGCATATTTTCAATTCGTTTATGATCAATTTGATATTGTCTCCAGTTCGACTGCGATCATGTTTTACTCAATTAAAGATACTTAATTCTGCTCATATCAAATCGAAGGATCTGACCAATATTTTACTTCTTTTCAGGTGTAGGTATGATTGTGGTCTGGATGTTTATAGTTTATTAATCAAATAATACAAGCACACCCACACTCACCCTTCGACTTTTTCATTCATTTTCAATAATAAAACTTTTTTTATTCTTTTATTTTTATTTCTCAATTTTTTATTTTACAAAACTATTTCAAATTTTTGAATTCGATGATTGTCACGATCAGCAACATAAAGATTTCTTTCGTCATCAAAATATAAACCACTGGGATGATTCAATTGATTCAATTGATTCAATTGATTTCCTTCACCATTTCCACCAACAACAATTTCACCGTCTTCTTTTCCTTCACACCAACGCATTACTCGATGATTCCAACAATCTGCTACATAGATTTGACCCAAATCATCAACAAATAGTCCTTCTGGATAATGCAATTGATTAAGATTTCTACCTTGACCATTTCCTCCAGCGACAATAGTTCCTTCTTTTGCATCTTTTCTCCATTTCATTACACGATTATTGTCGTGATCTGATATATAAACAGATTGATCTTCATCAACAAAGATAGAGGTAGGATCATTGAGTTGATTGAGTTGATTTCCTTTTCCATTTCCACCTGCCACTACAACTCCTTCATTGTTGTATTCTTCCATTTTCCATCGTCTCACTTCATTTCTCGCCCAATCGGAAACATAAAAAAATCCATTTTTATCCATTGTTAATCGAGAACAGTCAATGTTGTCAATAAGAATTTGTTGATTTTGATTCATCCATCGAATCACTTGGTTGTCCCAGAAGTGAGCAGTGATGATGGAATGATTTTGTTGATCAACAATCATACCTGTTGGTCGATACAATTGATCTATTTGGTTTCGTCCTGCGATGATTTGTCCTTCTTTTGCGTTATATTTCCATTCAACAATACGATTATTTCCATAATCAGCAATGATAATATTTTTCTTTTTATCAATAAAGATTTCATAAGGGAAAAAGAGTTGATTTAATTGTTGCCCTTGTCCATTTCCACCAGCCACAACGATGGCATTTTGTTTCCATTTGTTAAATTTTGATTCTAGAAGATGATGAAAACAAAATATTTTAATAAAAAAAAGGATTAATCTCGACCGAAATTTTGATTTTTTTTTAATATTCCATTTATTATATAAAGATGACAATCTGTTTGATTTTAATTTAGAATTTTAATATGATTACTTGTAAATACATTTCTTATAAAATATATTTTGAATATTTTTTTATTTTCTTCATTATTTGTATTATAGTTGTTTAATATTATTTCATAACAAATGAGAATTATCCATTATGAAAATGATTTGATAAAATCTTACCTCTTGATGAAATAATTGAAATTTCATTAATAAATGATTGTGAATCTTCTTTAATAAAAATCTTTGATGGATTATTTAATTCTTGTGTAATTTCTATCAATTGATTTCTTAAATAAATTAAATTTATTTCATTAGATTCATTTTCATGATGAATTTGTTTTATTTGTTGAGATAAATCATTAAATTTCTTTTCAATATCATTTAAGAATGTTGGTAAATATCCCATAGCAATTTTTCTACATTGTTGTGCTTTTTGTTGAATTACTGCAATTGACTTTGCTTCCCATTCATCAATTTGTTTGATTAATAAATCATTTTGTGGATTCTGTTTTTGTTCATTAATTCTTTGTTTAAATTCATTATATTCATTGGTAATAAGATTTAGTTCATCACTTAATATTCGTTGGTATTCTGTTAAATCCATGAGACAGAATTCTTTTGAACATCCTTTACAAGGGTATGTTATTTTTTCTTTATTACAAGTAAAACATTGTGTCTTATTATTTGCCATTGCCATGTCTTTGAATATAAATTTATCAATAAAATGAATAATTTCCTTATCGACTTATTTAGATATTGTGATAGATAACGATCCATCACTATCTCTTACATAGTCTTGGCCGAACATGCCCGCCGTGCATATACATATACATCAGTCACTTCTTATTGTTATACCTTTCTTTTCTGATTCCTTCTGTAGCTTGATCGTGCAATTTTCCCTATTTGTTCCTCTCCATTTGACCTTTGTTCCCTCGTATGCATATCAAGGCGGCGAATCGATGAAATGATGGGCGTTGCGTAACATAGCATTGTTGTATAACAGTAGGACCGAAGAGGGTGCAGATGTGGGTGTTTATGATTTATTGACCGAATACGACAAGCACACCCATAGACTCGGTTAGTGCATTATTTCTAACATCCTTTTTCTTGTGAATGAGACAAAAAAGAGAAGACTTCGAGTTGCTAAAAAATCTTTAAGTTTGTATACGTTTTCAACAACAACGTGTATGTATATACATAATAAACAAACATGTCCATCCTGTTCAAATCAGAGCTTTGTTTTGTAGAACTAAATTACATATGTATATCTTAAGAAAAATAAATTTTTCTTCTTCTTTTCGTCTGATAAGTTTTTGTAATTTTATGATATTCTCATCTTTAACTGAAAACTAAATATATTGAAATAAATTGTAAAATAGAAAGAAATCAAATATTGTTTTACTCCTTATATCTTATAAAGGAGAAATCTCAGGTTTTAATGAAAAACAGTTTATACAAAAAACATTGATATCAGATAATGAATTTTTTTTCTGATAATGTTTTTATGCACAATTTTCATCATCTGAAACTATGAGTCATTGATTATATTTTAGTTTTAAAATATTTAAGCGAAATTAAACAGATGATAAAATATCAAGTTAATATAGCATGAGTTCATTGAAATGCACTGGCGTTCTCTTTTATCCAGTCTTCGACTGTGCGTAATGGTCGATTGATAAGAAGAGCAATCTGTAGAATAGTACTCATACATTTCTCTGTCATTTGATAGGATACAAAATTAAAGGCGAGTGAATGAGACATGCCAAAACCAATGCATGTCTTATAGAAATCTTCCATTGATTTTTGTTCATATGTAATAGGTCTACCAAGAACTTTGGAGAAGAGAGCGGCTCGCTGTTCATTACTTAGGTTATCAGCACCCATTTCATAGATGTTGCGATCATGTTTTTCAATGGATTCACTGAGAATAGCAACAGCACAATCAGAGATATCTGTCAATAAAAAAGAACATATACATAACATTTGTTTCTCTGAAGTCTTAATAGTTATGGCGTACGTCAAAGATTATTTCTCTACTTACCTTTTGTATCAATCCAAATCATTGTATTCCAAGGATATGCGCATGAGACCAGTTTATTCGAATGTTTAACATGATGCATGTCTAATCGAAAGTGATTATCCATGAACGATCCAGGACGAAGTACAACGAGCGATCGTTGTTCCGGATTTGAATCAGCAAGTGCCCAAAGTTTTTCTTCTGCTGTTGTATGTGCATATCCAATTAATCCTTGCTTACCCTTCTAACTAACACTGATGGAAGAAAGATCAACTATTTGACGAACACCTTGTTCGAAAGCAATCTTGCTAAAAGTTTCTTTGATTTGCCATAAGAATGTTGGTTTATCATCATTTGAACGAGCAAAAAGAAGAAAAAGACGTCAAGCTCATCTTTGAATAAATCTTTGGCTTTTTATTCGTCACGAACGTAGGCTGTCGTGTCAATATTTTTTTAACTAGACCACGAACAACACCATTACCAATATTTCCATTTGCTCCGATTACAAATACACGCTCCTTGATTGACGATATTTGAGTAATAATAATTAAAAAAAAGTGATTTGCGTGACTATTTATTCATCGCAACAGATATCGAAGGTAAATAACGCCACGTGTGTTACAAAAGTACGATAGAGAACGGTACGTACGTTATTAGCTACGATGAATAATCAATCGCATAAAGTAACGTCATAATTTTGAGAGTGTGGAGGATTAACTTAATATTCATATCCACACCATCAAGTTTTTATTTAACAAGTACAATTTTTGTAGGTAAATTACAAGAATGAGAAGAAAAATAAAATAAAATAAAATATCTTTTTATTTTTTCTGTAATCTTATTGACAATATATACATTAAAATTCATCGTCATTTGTTGAACGAACTGTATTATTTTGATTTGATTTCTTCGATGAACGGATAGCTTTTGCAATCAATGCTCCGGCTGGATTGGCTGCCATGAATGCTCCTTGTGCCATTCGTTTTCCTTTTGAGTCACAACTGTCATTGTGTTCATTGTTTTCAGCTTTGTCTGATTTGGAATAAGCTAAAGAATGTAATCTTTTAGATATTTTTTTTTGAAACAAATGAATTATTACTTACAAGTTGGTTCATTATTCTTACTACTTCCGTTTCCCATTTAATATCAGTAATAGATTTAAAATTCTAGAAAAAAAAATTCTATATAATGAGTTGACTGTTATATTGTGTCGTATTTATAGATGTTTTCTAAGGACAAAAAATGTTCTACTTGTAGTGAGATGAAAATAACTTTTAGACGTCATCCAATGAATATGTTTACGTCAGTAAAGAAGAGAAAAAAAAGCGTGTTTGACGAAGAAGATGGCGTTTGAAGGAAAGAAAAAAAAATATAAACTACGTAAAAAAAATGAGTCATTAAAGCCTATTAACAATTATGTTTCAAAAGAAAAAAACATGATCTAGTCACAAAGTAATTATTTTTTTTAAATATTAATGGTTTGTCGCAGTTATTAAAACTTTATTTTCAATCCAGGGTATAATATCGTTCACAATATCTTTACGTATTCTTCACATCCTTAAGAAAAATTTAATAAATTCTGTTATTTTAAATAGTACCGAGTCTTCTTTTATTTATACATTTAACATAATTCATTCGAAATGATCAAGATTTTATCTACTCTTCATATATAAAGATACATGTATTTTATTGAATCATAAAACCATGATATAAATATTGTTTTATGTCGCCTATTGTGTATCGGATCTGTTGACATATAGATAAGATATATTGTTTTCATTGTTTTAGCTAAATAAAGATATAACTAAGTATACAGAAAAAATGAGAATGATTAATATATATATATATTTTAATTAAACTTTATTATCCTTACTAGTTGATATTTATATATATGTAAACGCAAATAATTATGTTTTATTTAATTGAATATAGAGCGTTACAAAAATATTTTCTAACTATCTTTCTACGAGTGTTACAGCAAAAAAATATTTTTTTGCATTTCTATTTTTTTTACAAACTAACAAGTAATAAAAAATTTCTCTGTTGAAGTTTGTTGTCATGATATCAATCTATATATGAAATACAACATCGCTCGTAACTAAGAGTAGAGTTATTCAAATTGTTTCATATTACAGTAAAAGACAAATAATTACAATAATTGAATATGGTTATTTATTAGTCATCCACACTCAATTTTATCATCATCTTTGTGATTTGCCGATAAGATTGCTCAGAATATTTGAAAATAATATATGTATACTTTATTGAGAAAAAAAAAA